TATATATATATATATATATATTCCCTTGTCATGAGTTGCTAAGTATTTCCTCAGTGTCCTTAAAAATTTGTAAAATATTTATGGAAAGACTGACTTTTTTTTAACCTTTTCGCGCACAAGGTAATTTCCTGTTATGGGTACTACGCAATTCTCATCTCTCCGCCAACTTCTTATGTGGAGTTATCTTTTATTTTATAACCGTAGTTGAACCGCAGACCCAATTTTTGGTTTGTTCAACGCCGTAACACTGTAATTTTAAACCTGATCCAGAAGACAAGGGAACTCCCGGTTGAAGTATCGGAAGAAATTTTTCCTTCTTGGACGACTTTTTGATAATCCAGAAGACAAGGGAACTCCCGGTTGAAGTATCGGAAGAAATTTTGTCTTCTTGGACGACTTTTTGATGGAACTAACCCTCATTTGCATTATATGGGAAGGAAAACCACGAACACCTTTCGCTGTTAGCCTCACGGCAAGGAGACTAACCCATGATCCGTCTTTCACTAAGGATATTTCACATCAAGTCAAGATCGGTGCAAGCCGGATGCGAAAGTCGCATCGATCAGTCATTGCTGGCATTCGATCCGGGTTCACCTGATTGAGAGGCAAGCTCTCTATCCCCTGAGCCACCACGGTTCAGGGTTTATCTATTTTTCTCTTTTATTTTATTTCAAAACCGTCGTTGAACACCTGACCCAATTACTTGGGTTTACGACTACTAATGTTTAATACCGTAGCCTTGTAATTTGAACCAATACAGAAGATAAGGAAAATCCTGGATCAGTGCCCTCAGGGGTATTGATTACTTATGGGAGCATGGAGGACTTTGAGACTTAACAGATTTAATGTGCATCAGTCACCATTTACTACACGGGGAGTCTTCAGCCGGCGGAGACCGAACACACGAATTCTTGGAAATGGGCACAGTGCCCTACCAACCAGGCTATCCCGATCCTTTATGAGAACACCCTATAGATATTCGCTTTTACAATATTTAAATTATGCAGAAAAAAATAATTACCTGGCAAGCACTTTCCATATCAGCATAAAATCCGGGTAACTTCTTTCTGGAACAGGTGAAGGAAGTCAATGGAATATTGTGATAATTAGGAAAATTCAATCCAGGAATTCCCATCATAGATTTCAACCAGAAATTAGTCTCCCTGTCAGCGTCATGCACAGGTTTTGATAAATCTTCCTCCGGATGCACAGGTTCTATCTTCTCAAAAATATCTTCTTTGTGATTTGATTCTTCTGGTTGTTGAGCTTCTTCAAAACCTGATATGCGTTCCAAATACTTAATAAAATCAGTTACGGATTCGGTGTCCAAAGGTGAATTGTCTTCTGGGGTTGTCAAAAGCATCCAATCATCGGTGGTAGTATGTGGATAGTCTACCATTTCTGGGTTATGATTATCGGTTGCTGGGGATGGCTTAGATGTTGTTTGTTTATCTTCTAAAGTCCTGTGTTCTTGGGGATGATTTGATTCATGTGATTCTACACTTGAAGAAATTTCACTAGCTGGCAGCACTTCCGCATCATAATGATCTAATTGTGATTCTGGAATTGTTCCCTCTTGATTAGCGTCATGGTCAGAACTGAAAAATGATTCAGTGTCGAATAGGCCAGAAGGATTTTCTGTGTTTGTGGCTGGCACGCCGTAAAAAATGGCATCCCAAAATCCATTATCGAAAGAGGTATCATTTTTCTCTGCGTTGTTTTCCTCAAAGAAATCATACAAAGCTTCTCTTTTGACTCTTGAAAAATTGTTCTGGTGTTGCCTCTTGAAAAAGTGTTTGGCTAAAAAATAAATATAATAACAGTTAAAGTTGGACACATCACATGCATCACTGTTACTGATTTTCTCCATCCCACTCCAAAAAAAATGTAAGTTGCAGTGAAAGTCTGTAGAATATAGACTTTCGCAGGTGATTGTTAACAATCACATAGTCGATTTGAACACGCGAAGTGTTTATGACGGATTTGATATTAATTTATTCATCGATATTTTTGTCATGTCAATTTTTTCTTTCTCCGCGTGGTGTTATTCAAGGCAATAAGACATTAATCATTGATCAGTTATGAATGAAATCGAAATCTTAATTAATTATATAGAGAAAAATACTTTTTGTTTTCTCGGTGACAGACTTAGTGATGGTAAAATAGCCTGATGCCAGATTTATCAAAAAAAATAATAATAAATAAATAAATAAATAAACTTATAAATAAAAAGTAATGACAGCTCATAGGTTCAAGCATGCGATCGTGTTTGTTTTTACCACACGGAGAAAAATAAATATTTAATAATTATTTGATATTTTAATTTCCGATTATCTGATTATTAAGTCCGATTTAATATCCGATTGTTAAGCCCGATTTAATATCCGATTGTTAAGTCCGATTTAATATCCGATTATTAAGTTCGATTTAATATCCGATTTGTAAGTCCGATTTAATATTCGATTATCCGATAGTCCAATTATTAATTCCGACTTAATATCCGATTATCCGATAGTCCGATTATTAAGTCCGATTTAATATCCGATTAGGATAGACTAGGAAAAACATCAGTGTTGGGAATACCGGGCAATGATACTTAACTTCAAAAAAAGTTTGGCAAAGTTTTTTAAGTTTAAAAAAGTGAAGTTCTTTTAGATTTTGAAAACATTAGGGTTAAGAATACTTGTTATTATCCCCTCACTTGCCCGGTGTTCCTAACACAGATGTTTTTTCCCCTTCCTAATCTATCCTAATCGGAAACTAAAACATCGCATAAATATTTAAATATCATTGAATAAATTAATATCAAATCGGATATGACAAATATTTCGGACATTTACCGGGGAGACTATATGATTGTTGACATTCACAGGTGAAAATCTGTGATCACCAATTCCATTCTTACACAGTATTTATGCTGTTCTGTAAGTAAAACCGCTATCACTTGAATTCAATTTGATAAATGACTGAATAAATACTGAGTATGAACACCTTATGCACCAAAAGTGACTATGAAGGTTTTTTCTTTTCTTATCTAACTCTATCTTAGACATAAATATCTGCTGAAACTCATAAGACTTTGGCATCCCTAAAAATTTTCTTTGCTCAATATATGAGACGTAATGTCATTTAATGAGTTGTATCCCTTTGTAGATAAATTTATGACGGGTTTACATTTATTGATTAAGGCCAAATGCCGTCACTTTGAAAATTCACAAATGTTTTATATGTGTTTCTACAAGGTGTTCAGTAATGATCACCCTTACTATATTACTTTAGAATCCTTGTAAAACAATATCCACATCAGGGGTTAACAGCTAATTTTCAAACGGAGAAGTACAAAATCGCCATTGAAATCTAACGAATAACTATAAAGGAAGAGTGAACTAAAACCATCAAAAACTGTTTGATTGCCGGAAGAAATCGGAGTTAAGAGGAGATTGTTAGAAATACCTCAAAATGTTATCCACCAATCTAAGTGGTTTTGATATTTTACGTTTCGCCCTTCTATTCTAGAGATTCTACGAAATTCAGAGGAACTTTAGTATTATTCTAGACATTTTAATAGTGATTCGTGCCCCTTATTGCGAATACATTTTTTATTAATTGTCCTATATTGAAAGCCTTGTTCCTTAATGTGAATGCTTTGTTGTAAATTGTCCCTTATTGTGTTAACTGTCTCATATTGTGAATTGCCTCCAAATCGTGATTGTTCTTGTTATGAATACAGATCATTGGCATAAATATATATTATTAGTAGCCAATAATATGTATTCGAAAGAATATATATTATTGGTAGTGATTACATAACACACTGAATATTAAATTATGCACTAAATAAAGCAATTGTGTTTTAAACGTGGAAAAAAAAGTGATTTAGTCGAAGAAAAAAAAAAAATATTTTTAGACAGTTAAAATCCTATTTTGTATGAAAATTATGTTTTATAAAAAAAAAATAATAAAAGTAGGATATATTTTTATTAATAGCCTGCTAGCTTATAGGAAAACGAACTTCAGACGTTAATTTAAAAGCAGAAAAGAAAAATACTGTGTTTTTACCGTTTTCGTAATATTAATCTGATTCTTTCCAAATGCAAATGAATGAATAATAAATTTTTTAGTATAAATTAATGTATTGGTTTGTGGACAAATCTGGTGTGAAAAAATCCTCAAGCTCATTTTTAGCAAAAATATTGAAGGTTTTTTTTTCAACATAAATAAATCATTTTTGGAAATTATATAAAAAAAATAATCCAACTAAAATCCCAGAAAAAAAAATTACTCTTACCTGATTTAACACTGCTGAATCGTTTTCCGTGGCTGCCTCTGAAGAAGGGGGACATTTGACCATAAGCTCTATTTACTTTAGGATATTTGGCCAATCTCCTTTTACGAACTCCATGATCCAAGTCAGTACTCTTCAAATCCACTAAAATAAAGACGGTTAAAAATTAAGGAAACGCATGGTTTTTGTTGCTGTTACTGCTGCAAATGCCAGTAAGCCTGCTTGAAATCAAGTGAGTTCAAACGTAAACTCATCCAGATGTCGTCTTCTGTGTCGCCTGTTAACCATATCACGCAGTGACTACAAATTCACTTCGTTTAAACTGTTGTATACCGCGCAATACTATTCACATAAATACTGATCTTCTACTGCCAGCTCATTTTATGTCCTTACGACGCACCCCGCTCCCATCACGTCATGGTGCATATATGCAAATTTTCTATTTTAGCTTACTGTGATTAGTCATCTAAAAAACCTTTCCCTCCTTTGTAACTGCCTGATTTGTTGTTATGATAGTTTTTCCATTTCGAGTTTAATTTTTGCACACCAGTGTAATATCATTAAATTGTTATGTATGATGTGATAAATGAATACCAATTTTAGTTTGTAAATTTTAAATAAAATCGTCACGGTTGGTACTTTTTAATTTAATAAAAAAGTTATCACAACAATATTTACTAATTGATAAATATAGCAATAAAGAGAATGAATAATTTGCTGATAATGCAATCATTTTTAGATAAGATTCAGGTCATTCAGAAATCGAGAGCAGCATTATTTTCAAAAGAGAGCTCAAATATTTTGTAGCATATTTTTTCTTCTTTTACTGATTATGGACTTCCTCGCGAAAATATGCAAGATTCATTAAACGAAAAATCCCAAGAAAATAAAGCAAAACTATATGCCAGATATCAAAAAAATTCTTTTTAAAAAGAAGAAAATTAGAAAGGTGGTAAAAGTTTATATATTTCGAGCTCCCAAAAATAGGCGCCCATTCTCAAGTCTCACCAGGCTAGAATAAGCAGGGAGATTTGAAACATAAAACGTAAAGTTGCCACTGAAATAACAAAACTAGAAAAACCGTGATAACCGAGTGTAAAACAGAAAAATGAAAAGTTGTCAATGAAAAATGGGAAACAAATAAATATGAAGCCGATATGATATAATCAGGATAAAAGATGAATATCATGAAAAATCTGATTATGATATAATCATAATATAAGATAATTTACTCAGTTTTATTTTTTTTAATCGATTTTGGGATATAAAATCTGTTATCTTACCTGCAGTTGAAGTAGAGTCAGTTTTCTTAGACATATACCTCGGATGTTGAACGTGAGTTTTCTCATATTTCTGTATCCATCGAGATAGTGTTTCATTCAATTGGGACAGAATAACAGGATCTACTTCTTCGATTCCTCTCCAATAGTGTTCGTAATCTCTTTTTAATTTCTCTGTAAGTTATACAAAACAAGTTATTTTGGTTTACAATGCAGTCGAAATCATATAGGAAAAATAACTATTTAAATGCATCGCTGTCTGTTCTCTGTCGTCACATGAACACCTTTTTTACAAATAATATGTTATTTTTATGACTTCTGTGAATTTGCTACATTTATTACTGTTAGGTCACCCGAGTCGAAATTTTTGATGGTTTTCCATTGGTGGACCAACATAATCCTGATGGAAACCATCAATAATTCCATTATGAACCATAATATTTTTTGATCGTAACCAACATAAGTAACCATCACAGCGAAGTAGGAATTCGGACTGATTTATGATGATCCAACATAAGAATATCAACATGTTTTGATGGTTTGTTCATGTTGAAGCATCAGAAATTTCCATCATACAAAATCAAATGTTGGAACGATTATGAACTGCCATCATCTCAATGTAGGAATTTGGACTGGTTTATGATGATTCAACATAAGAATATCAACTTGTTTTGATGGTTTGTTCATGTTGAAGTATCAGAAATTTCCATCATAGTTTCTTAGAAATCAAATGCTGAAACGATTATGAACTACCATCATCCCAATGTAGGAATTTGGACTGCTTTATGATGGGCCAACATAAAAAACAAATTGTTTTGATGGTATATTCCTGAGAACGAACAAGAATTCCCATTAAACCATCATGGAAATGAGTAGTTGGAACCATCAGTGATCATCATGAGTTGCTGGTCCATGAGAATCAAACTTCTCTTGATGGTTAGCCATCATAGAAATGACATAGAATTTTCCATCATGGAATGATGGAAGTTTGTTAGCATATCAAAAACCATGAATCGCCCTGAAGCCATCATAAACCATCAAAATGTTTTGATGGGAGCATCAAGAATTTTGACTTGGGCAAGATAAGCCTATTTGCGTGAATTTGCTACAGCTTCTGTGAATTTGCAACATTTATGACTATTAGGTCAAGACAAGCCTATTTTCGTGAATTCGCAACAGCTTCTGTAAATTTGCAACATTTGTGAATGTTAGGTCAAGATAAGTCTTTTTTCGTCAGCACCATCTGTACTAAATCTGATAATGGCGTTAAAGGTTTGTATGAAGAAAATACTTTGTCTTGGGAAAATAGTAAACGTTTGTAATCTAATTTCTTAATATTTAATATACTTTTCCATCTCTGGATTATCTGAGCTCATAAAAACATACAGACATTGAGAATTATTCATTGATTATGGTAATTTTCATCTAAAATCTCGCCAACTTGGCAACTTCAAAAATGTTTCGTGATTTTTTAAATATTTAAGTTATTTGCCCGTTCTATTGTATAACCCAGATCACTCTTTGCGGCAAGATGGTACAGATTGTTTAAAATAGTAGCTTTACCTCAAGTACAAGACACTTAACAGTAAAAAAACGGATGGGACCAATTTTGACCATCTAGTTTTTCTGCTGCTCTGAAATTAGAAAAATAACTTATTGAAAGTGTTGAGTATTTCTGACTTCTCATAATTTGATCCAATTTAAGTGCTAATTTAATATTCATATGTTAGCCTTATAGAAACGCTTAAATATAGCGAAAGTAAGAACTCCCCTAGCCATTCGTCTGAAGCCGTGGCGGTGACTATGGTAACGACGCATAACTATGTCAAGTAAGGGTGTGGATCACTAGTTTTGGCTCGAGTCGAAGAGAGAAAGGTAATCTTTTTCTCCGGTCTATTGCGTTAGCCCTAGAGTGGAGAAAAACTACGCTTCTTGAAATGCGCTATTCTTGTTTCCATAGTAGCAGACGGCCTCAGACTTTGTGGAGGGGGGAGTTCTTACCGTAGACAAACTATAGAACCTTATTCTTAGAATGATGGGATAAACTATTTAAACTANCATGAATCGCACTGAAACCAACATAAACCATCAAAATGTTTTGATGCTCTCCTAGATTTAGATAGTTTTGGGTATAGAATTTTCCATCGTGGAATGATGGAACTTTGTTGGAATATCAAAAAAACATGAACGAATATGGGAAAATCCTGAATGATGGTGACTATTAAATGATGTTGGATTATCATGAATCGCACTGAAACCAACATAAACCATCAAAATGTTTTGACGCTCTCTTAGATTTAGATAGTTTTGGGTATAAGGTTTCTTTTGGTTTAGATAAGGAACTCCAGTTTCATTAAAAAAAAACTTGCTTATTTCAATATATCTATAATTATTATTTACAGCGAAAAAGAAACTGCGTTTTCTAAGAAAATAATACGTATAATTGAAGAGTCAGTGCTCAGTTTATTCAAGTATTTTCGCTAAAATAAAATATATAAAATGCAAATCATAAGTATATATAAATCGTATAAAATGCCATAAAATATCGACGATCAAGTTTGTTATATATACTTTATAACATTAATCATGATAATATTTTGAGAGCTTGGATATCTATCATCTAACTGATCTACACACAAGCAAACAAGAAAGGGCCAAATGGTTCATTCAGTCTTTTTATGCATACAGCAATGTTCAGTCTTCCTAGTGTTAAATTGAGACTTTTGATTGTTTCCCACTCTTCTATCCTCAAAATTGATTCGGCAGATTTTGACAGCGCTTTTATTATATCTCTGTCAACTATTAATTTGTAATCCTAATTATACTTAATTTTTGACAAGGATATATGCGTCGTAGCAGCAAATTAAAACTATTTAATGCTTGCAGTGGAAACCTAATTTCTTACCTTCATTCAATGCAACTTCTTTTGAAACGTTGTCATTGGAAGCTTTCTGATGCCTTGCATTCATCTTTATTTTGTACCAGTGGCAAAATGATGAAGCTATTTCTTCCAATCTATCTCTTATCTCTTTCCTCTTGCATCGCTTGGTGACATCTGAAGTCGCCATTGTACCTAAATGATGAAAAGTCATCATTAGCCTACGGAAGTCGTAATAACTTACGCAACACGAAAGACATTTTTATAATAATATAATGTTCCCGTAACATAACTGCATAGCTTCAGATGTGCTCTGAAAATGTTTCTGTTAAAACATTGTAGAAAATAAAGTGTAAATAAAAACTTTGCAAAATTTTTTATCTGAAACATTTATTTTGGAGTAAACCCCCAATTCTTCTACTAAATTCTTTCATAATACCTGGCAACTTCAATGCATAATTAGTTTGTTTGTGTTCTACATGGCTCCATGCCTGTTTTGTGATATTTGAGAAAAATATGGATTAATAATTGTGAAAGAATCTTTGTGAAGGATTATAGAATGTGTCACTTAAGAGAATTAACACTTGACGGAGTAAGTTAACTCGAAAAAGAACGGAAAGCGCAGTTGCTAACGTAAACAAAGCCATGTTTTAACAACCAATCAGGCTCGAGATACCCACACTACGTCACTTGCAGGTATCCCATTTAAAAGAAAAGTCTTTCACAAAAGCATGATTGAACTGAGAAATTCTTTAATTTTTTGACGAGATACAATCACATAAACAACAATCTGCGTCAATGTTTATTACAGTTTCCTGATGTTTCTTTTATTTATTTATTCATTTGCATTAGCATCTACGACAAATCTATGCCACACTGCAGTTCAGTGAATGCAAAAATTGCTTGTGATTTTGCAAGCAACCTTTTTGATATGTTGAAGAGAATCTTTCAAAAAATTTTGAAAAATTAGATCAAGCGAAATAGCATTCATAATTTTTGGTATTCTACGTGCTTTTTCTCAAAAATGTAAATCAATAAAATTATAAGAATATAGCAATCATGAATGAATTTTGTGTTTCTGAAAAGTTTGTCTTATTTATTTATTATTCTTTTTGTTGTTAAATTTACGTTGATGAATGATTGATGAAAACCGAGGTTGAAAAATTCTGTCATTGTTAATTACGCTAGATATTTATCGAAAGTAAAAAAAAAAAGTTGTTGTTGTCATAGGCTATTAAGGCAAGGTGCTCGATTGACTTTTCCAGTGGCGCTATCTATGGCCAAGAATTCGACTTCTATCTCACCCGTTCAATAGGGTGGATTCATTCATTCACAAATCGTAATTTTGACCTGAATCAGAGAACGATCTATCTCCAATTCAGTACCCCCAGGTATAATTTGTTATGGGATCATGGAGGTCTTTGTGACCCAACAGATTTAACGTGCACCAGTCACAATTTACAACACGGGGAGTCATCGACCGTCTGGATTCGATCTCCCGTTCTCACGAACGCTAAGTCTAGCACCCTGCCAACCAGACTATCTGGACCTAAAAGAACAGTTAAATATTTAATACTAATCTGCCTTTTTGACAATGATTATAGCAACATTATCATTGTATAACTTTTTCAGAAAAAAAAATCCCCATGGAAATTGTATTTTCTAAGATTCCGCGCATTGGATTCCTCAAATTAGAATTGTGCAACTCATGTTCAACTTTAATGTTTTGAAAGATAATGCCGAACTGAAAGAATATTCAACCTCAGTTCAATTTTGTGAAAATTAAAAATAAAAGGGTTTAAAAATATATTTTAAACCCTATTTCCATCTCGACCTCTTTGATAATTAAGTTTAATCGGAAAAAACAAAAGCTTCTAAAAATAAAAAGTTTAAAAAAATTAATGAATAAATAGGAGTACTTACCAGCACACATCAGGACCAGCAGTATTATCTTGAATTTCATCTGCAATTAAAATAATGAGTGATCAAATTTTGTGTATTTTATAACATTTTTAAAAGTACTACTAGTGAATATTCTCCTAAACACTAGTTATGCGGTGAAGTGTTCCTGAATAATATAGATGGCAGCACTTTATTGGATTCTTTAATCATTGAAAGTTTTTGCTCTTTTTTTAAAAGTTTTTTGAAAGGGATTAGCACTAAATTTTTAAAGATCTGGCAATTAATATTTTATTTTATTTTCACTTGGTTATTCTAACTGTAACTTTATCTTTATTAATATTTCTTTTTAGTAGACGTGTCTTTATAAGTATTTTCTCAGAGTACTTTCGTATTTTTTTTTTTGTAGGTCATTGAATTTTTATCTTCATTTCAATATTTGAATTTTTAATTGCATTTTCTTATTCAGTTAATGAGTTATGGGAACTCGGAGCACAGTCAGTTTTGGGGGCTCCAGTGTGTCCCTTGATGAAGTAAGTGCTGTTTTTGCTAACATGCATATCTTTAGAATTTCGTTTTTTCTTGTTTTGGTTTCCTACTTCTTCTTTAAATTGCCTAGCTTTACATGCCCAGGCTCGTAGGTGGGTGACAATACTTGGGAGGGGGGGATATTATTTTTAGAACATTCCTGACCATAGAGAGATAAAGTGTAGCTCAGGGGGCGGGGTTCAAGTCCCCTCAGTTACGTCCTTGCACACATTGGTAGAAAAAGCAATTTTTGCTTAGAATAAGGCAAAAACTCATAGCTTCAAAAAAAAAAAAAAAAAAAANAAAAAACAAAAAAAAAAAAAAAAAAAAAATTCAAAATCTTTTTTAAGGAATTTTTATTTTCTAATTGTTTTCATTTTTTGCATAAAAAAATATGAATTTTAATTTTCAGATTTTTTTTTATAATTTTATTTATATATTTGTTTACTTATTTTACAGATTGCAGAATGCTTTTATGTATTTTTCCCCACTTTGGTGGTGAAACATTGTCCACTAGTTTTAAATAAAAAGATAATTATGTTGTAACATATAAATATCCAAAAGTTCACTTAAAATGAAATTTTTACCTTTCTTATAATTCTTTATTGCAATTTAAAATTCCTACCAACGGGGGTAAATGTTATAAAATTTTATAATAGATAATCACTTTGTAAAGGCATACAAATAAAAATAAAGCATAAAATAACATTTTTTAAATAGATAATCATTTTGTAAAGGTATGCAAATAGAAAAAAAAATCATAAAATATTTTTAAATGATGATCATTTAGTAAAAAAGCACACAAATAGAAAAAAGTCATAAAATAGTCTTTTTTAGAAAGATAATCATTTTGTAAAGTCATACAAATAGAAAAAAATCGTAAAATAATATTTTTTTAAATAGATAATCGCTTTGTAAAGCCATGTAAATAGAAAAAAAAAATCCTAAAATAATATTTTTTAAATAGATAACCACTTTCTAAAGGCATTCAAATCGAAAACCAAAATAATACCTTTAGATAGATAATCATTTTGTAAAAGCAACAAATAGAATAAAAAATCATAAAATAATATTTTTAAATAGATAATTAGGTTGATAAGGCACCATACTAATAGAGAAAAAAATCATAAAATAATATTTTTTAAATGACAAAATTATACCAAATGCTGTCCAATATAATAGACGCTGGGTGTCAAGAGCATATGGGAAACAATTTCGAAAAACCAATAAAAAAGCGAAACAAATGTCGAATGGTACCTATTTAAACATTAACCATCGGACCCTCCCTTATTAAATAGGTGAATCACATCCTTGAATCTCTTTTAGAATATTTTTTTTCTTTCATAAGATATTTCAGAAAAAAAAAGATAATCAGCGTTATTTAGAAAATGTATTGTGCTATAAAATGAAAGAAAAAAAAAGCAAGAAACAAAGAAAAGAATCGTCCTGAATAACTTTTGATCAATTAATTGGATTGTCATGTTCTAAGACACAATCTTAATGGTTCAAGTGCGTGACCTCTAAGATGCAAATTAATTAATATAAATATTTTAACGTACGAAATCAGAAACAAAATCAGATTTTCTCTGAATGAACATATCTTTTTTTCTATGGATTGGATTTCTAACTATCAAGATATAGGAAAAAGCCGCAATCTGGGAAATATGATCTCAATGGTTTGGTCCAGAGTGCGGTCCAAAGTACTTTTTGCGTATTTCACCATGTATCTCGGAATTTTTAAGCATAATTATAAACTTTTGAGCATAATTATAAAATCCTTTTATCGAAAGATAAATCCATGCAAAAATAACATTTTTAGGCATCATTTATTATTATTTTTAATTTAATAATATTCGAAAAAATTTTGAACTGTAAGGCATAAAAATGTTGACATTTTTTTAAAGAATGTAATTTTATAAGTAAAATTACAGAATCTGTGCGAATCCGGTTGGAAAAAATCATGAGAAATCAAATTCTAAACAACTTCTTTAAAATTCCATTTCTCAAGAAATTTTCCACAGATTTCGGATAAATTTTGTATACCTTACTTAGAATTCAAAATATTTTTAACTATGATAAAATGATATAGAAAAAAAAAATATTTATTAAAGAGTATATTTTGCAAGAAAGTATTTTTGGATAAAAGAAGTTTAAAATTGCGTGCACAAAATTTTTGTTTCGCGTAAAAAATTCTCGAAATATGGCGAGATACAGAAGAAATAACCAACTTTGAAATACAGAAGAAGTAACTAACTCCTAACTTTGGACTGCTCCCCTGACTAAACTTTGAGGGTCTCTAATCTAAATCCTTCCAAAAAAGGTATGTTTAATTAGTGAAAGTACGCTTTTGTGTCTGATTTTGTAACGTAAAATGCTATTTGCACTAATTAATTAGCATATATTGGGTTACCTCTTAAACTATTAAGATCGAGCTCTGGTCAAAATTTTTTCACAAAAAGGAAATTTATGAATTAATTATTTTATAAAAATTGGAGAAAATTTTTTTGACAGCATCATGAAGTTGAAAGTTATGTTGTTCACAATTTGTGATTCATCCAATAACATCCAATAACAAAATTTTAATTTAAAAAAATTTTTCACATGGCTGAAAAAACAGTTTTTTGCTATTTTTTTTAACAGTTTATATATATATNTATATAATTATATATATATATATATATATATAGGTAGAACACGTAAAACAAATATTAATAAAATTTTTTTTAATTAACCTTTAAAGTCTAAAATATCTATGCATCATTCTCTCAGACAAATTATTTTTAAATTTATTCGAAAAGAAAATTGTTACTATACTTCACTCTTTCCTTACTCTTTTATATTTGTTCATTTTCAAATTAATATAGGAAAACAAAATAAAAATATTTAATCAAACAATGGGTTGTTAACTCCTGTGGTAATCAAAATATTGCTTTTAAATATTTAAAAGAAACTTCATAAATTATTAATTTAATAAAGCGCCACTTGGATTAATGTACATTTATATATTAATTATAATAAAAAAAAAATTAAAAAATTTAACTGATGAAAGTAGGAAAAAAATAGCTAGTGCTGCCATCTGTTAGTTTTTTTTAAAAAAAAAGCAACAACTAATGGTTTCACATTTTTATTTATTGTCAGAACTAATCAGATCAATCAGATTTGATATCCTATAATAACTGAAATTTTGTAACATTTTCTCAATAAAGAGGTAAAATTAAAATTAAAACTAAATTTAGGAGCACATATTATAGTATTTGTCACTTTCATTCAATTAGTTATTTCAAAAATATACTAGAATTAAGGTTAATTTTTTTGGTCACCTTTTTCAGCGTAATCTACAAATAAAATGCTTTCAAAACAATTTAGAATTCTGTTTATTTTATAAAAAATAGTTATGTATTCTGATAACCAATTGTTCGAAACAAAATTAAGAGTCAAATCTCACTCTCTTTTTACGATTATTGGCTTTATAAATTCTTCGTTTTCTGTATTATCAATATAGCATCGTCACTTTACATTTTAACGGTAATAATCCTAATTACAAATCAACTGCGCAAAAGCATTAAATTAAAGGAAAACAAATTCTTTTTAGATTTACAATGTTTGAAAAAAAGCATAATTTAATATTTAAAAATTATTTTTAATATTTATCTCTAAATTTTTTACTATTATTCATTGTATTAACAACTAACTACTACAACTAACAAAAAAATGGCAAAAATTTTTGTTGCTAGAGATAAGGAAACAAAAATAGAAAGTAATAATACCTTGTATTATTCTTTGCTGCACACAAATGCTAAAATTAACAAAGAAAAGCAACTACATGATTTTATAAATGTATGTACAAACAATTAGTTTGCAGGAGGGAAGGAATTATATTAATTGAATTATACAAGCAGTTAAAAAAAGGTTAATTAACTAAATAAAAAAAATGTAAGGAAGTCATAAATATTTACAAAACTGAAATTTCATTTGTTTGAGAAAAAAAGTAACAATAATATGTGAAAAACCTTCTATTTAGCGAGAAGTCAGAACATGTAATTTTAATATTTAAATTAATGTTGTTATAAGAGAACTAATGTTACAAACAATTCGATCTAAATTAAATAAAAGACGGAAATTAAATCCCCCAGACACTATTTCGTCCTGATTAATTCATATTTCTTTCTGATAGTTCGTATTCGTATACAAATAATTTATATACATATAATTAATTTTTATAGTAAAAAAAAGAATAAAGCATGGTATTGTGAAATATATTAAGAGAGTAAACAATGCAAAGTATTTTATTCCTTTTATTTTATTAATTTTTATTGAATAAACACAAAAATCAAATGACAAAAACAATACTTTGTCCAGATTTATAAGCGTATTTTTTTGAACATTTTAATCCGTATAGAATTACTTTTTCATGGGAACTTGTTTTAAATTATGATTGTTTGAAATATAATAGATAAAATATTGGAATACTTGGATACTCAGATTTAATTAATACCTATTGAATACAAAAATGAAATAAGAAAAACAATGTTTGTCAATAAAAACTTTTTATCGTGATAGTTCGAAATACATTAAAATAAATAATATGAATAATTTGACTTTCAGACTTAATTCAGTGTAATTGAATGAACTAATGCACACAAAAATAAAATGGCAAAAGCAATATTTTGTCTAGATAGGTGAATATATTTTAATCTGATTTCATAATCTGTATGAAAACAACTTTTTTATGGGTTTAAAAAAAATTTTTTTTTGATCATGATAGCCAAAATACTTTAGCATAAATAATGCAAATATTTTGACTCTCAGATGTAACTAATTTCAATCGAATAATCGCAAAATTGAAAGGGTGAGAACAATATTTTGTAAAACAATATTTTTTTATCATAATCGTTTGGACTACATTAGAATAAATAAAGTAAATCATTTAACCTTCAGATTTAATACATTGTAGTTGAGTGAATACAAAAATGAAATGGTGAAAGCAATATTTTGCAAAACAATATTGTTTTAATTATAATAGTTTGAACTACATTGGAATAAATAAAGCAAATACTTTGACCTTCAGATTTAATGCATTGTAGTTGAGTGAACACAAAAATGAAATGACAAAAGCAGCATTTCATCCAGATTTGTGTATATATTTTAATCTGATAGTTTTTAATCCGGTTAAAAAGAACCTTTTATGAGGCAAAAAAAAAATTTTTTTTTTATGATGTTAGTCTGAAATACATTAACATGAATAAGGCAAATAATTTATCTCGCAGATTTTAACTAATTCCAATGGAATGAACACAAAAATGAAATGGTGGAAATAATATTTTATCAAGATATGTATAATTTTTGGACATTTTTAATTCATATAGAAACGATTTTTTACGGGAAAATAAAATAATGGAATTAGAAGAAAAAAAATAGTAAAATCTTACCGTTATTAAGTATACTATCCGTTCATAAGAAAACAATAATTTCCTCTCACACGTTCAACAACATGCACGTACACAATTATTGCCGGCTATTTTTGAACACGACACCCCACACTAAAAATCTCCCCCGGAGTATTGCAAAAGATCCCAGGAATCTGGTTTTCAAATAGACCCACCAATGTAGAAGAGTTTCTGCGATTTCCAGAAAAACTCCCCGTGATAAGATTTTCCCCATGCATTGCTGTCGTAGCCAAACAGGCCAGACGTGCGTCATGCATACAACGGACAATGGAGTGAAAAGAAAGAGATGGGAGGTCCACGTCCATACATTTTTGAAAGTGACCTATGACCTTCTCAGGACGAATTCAAAAGACTGGTTATTATAGTTTCTTTAATATAGTCAGCTAGTATTTATAAAGAAATATATTCAAGACCACCTTAGCACTGCATTTCTTTATGTTTAAGAAACGTAGTAAAATAAGCACAGTTTTCAATTTGATTTTACAAATATAAATTTTGCATATTTGTTTTTAAGATTTACGTGTAAATATTTGTATATTTTTTTAATAAATATAGATTAAAATGTTAATATGAATTTTTATCAAATATACATATAAATTTTAAGTCCATTTGATAAAAATTTTTATATTATCAAATATACATATAAATTTTAAGTCCATTTGATAAATATGATTTTCATAATTGTTTTAAAGACTTACGTCCTATGATTTACATAAATGTTTTTAATATTTACGTCCTATGATTTACATAATTGTTTTTAAGATTTACGTGCAAATATTTGTATGATTTTTTCTAATAAATATAGATAAAAATTTTAATATGAATTTTCATCAAATATACATATAAATTTTAAGTTCATTTGATAAAATTTTTTATATTATCAAATATACATCTAAATTTTAAGTTCATTTGATAAATATGATTTACATAATTGTTTTTAAGATTTACGTCCTATGACTTACATAATTGTTTTTAAAGATTTAAGTGTAAATATTTGTATAATTTTCTTTTATTAAATATAAATATAAATTTTAATATGAATTTTTATCAAATATACTTATAAATTTTAAGTCCATTTGATAAAAATATAAATATTATAATTACAGATATATGATTAATATGTTCGTTGTTAGACCTCCAAAAATTTAGTAATATTTTTTTTCCTCAAATTTCTATGATATTAATTAATTAAAGGAAAGAAATATCCGCATGAAATTTATATTGTTCTCTTTGTCGATGCGACTCAGCATCAAACTTTATTTTTATGATTATAAATAAACTAACCTACAAGTTTGCTAATTCTTATAGAAAGTGCTAAAATTTAGTAATATCATTTTTATTGGGAAAAGTTTATTTGTTCATTATCCCTTAATGAGTTTTATGATTTCTTTCATTCCATGAAAAAAAAAATTTCTTACATCTAATGAATTTGATCATTCATACAAAAAGCTTTTAAATCTAATATTAAATTTTTTGTCAGAAAAATATGATTGATTTAATTTTCCTTAATGAGTTTAATTTATTATTGCATGAAATAAAGAATTTTTAGTCTAATATCTGACAAATTTATTCATTCTCTATGAACGGCTTATTTTTCAATGTCGTTTTTCATAATGAGAACTAATTTTTTTTCGAAGCAGTAAAATTTGTTTTTCCTGTTATGAGTTTTACCATTTCATACCTTCCCTTACTTTATCTAACATTAGATTATTTGGTGTTCACATTTGTATATATTTACCAAATAAACAAATATTTTGTCTAACTTAAAAAAATTCTTTGTACCCCAAGCAGGAATCCAAGCACTTTATAAATTTAATGATAGAAAAAAAGATAATTAATTAATAACCCGTAATTAATATATATATATATACAATTAGTTTTTGTTTTGATGCTAATGCTATAAAAACAAATAATACAAAATTTCGGTGCAATTTTTTAAGCAAATAAATTATTGTCGTTTTTAATAGTTTCGGAGAAGCTTGTCCAACTAACGTTTTCTGAACGGCAACTGAGAACATTTTAAAATTTTTTAATAGAGAGTATATGACTAATTTCTAAGCAATCGAGTGTTGAACCAAGTCTGGATATTGTTTTAAAAAGTTGTGGATTATGTCCAAAATAGATATCTGAAGTAGACCCCCTCCCCCGTGCTGAGCTTTGGTCAATTTACTAAGAAGGAGGAAGTCAAAAGATACGTAACTTAAACATTGTTATCAATGATACCCAACTGAGGTATTGTTTCAAATGTTTTAATCTTTTTTTTTAATTTTTTTTTTTTTTTTTTTTTTTTTTTTTTTGCTACATTGAAGAAAAAAAAAAGGAAACCATTTTTCTCGACTGATCACAAGTTTGAATTTTCAAAAAATATGTAAGTGAGCGAATTTATACTAGTTAAAATTTTGATCGTTAAAAATGTATACCTTTTCATTAGCTGGGCACAGAGCAAACATTCATATCGGATCCTGCGCCAATATGTTCTTCAAGTTTTGAAACTAACAGACAATGAGAAGAAAAAAAATCACCACTGTAAGGAGAATATTTTAATAGTTAAGAAAAAAATGGAATAAGAATCCGATACGGGAATGTTCCCAATAGTCCACCTAGATGAACTGCTCTAGCAACCAGCTGACGGAAAAGAATCTTAAAATGTATTCCCATTGGGGAAACTATTTACTTAAAGCTTTTAAAGGAGGTTCTCAAATTTATTTAACCTTCCAAAGACGAAAATAATTGTTTCATTACAACTTTTTGATAAATTTAATCAAGGTGATATGTGGCATTTAAATCCCTTTGAATCTGAGAAATTAAAATTGATTCGCTTTAAATTGATTTAAAAACAAGAGAGTTCATGAACTTGTAATCAACATATCAAAGGCAGGATTTTTTTAAGCATTTTTGTTAACAAATCCTATTCAAGAGAAAACTTCTTTTTGAAATTTTTGATATATTCTTCCGTCTCCACCAATTTAACCTCTTCTCTTTTAATTAACTCTTTAATGTCAGAAATCCGCCTCTCTTCAATTGCTTTGTTAAGTAACATTGTAAAGTCTTCAGCATCTGCAGAACTTGGTGTTTCATTACTATACTCGGTTTCTTTACCTTCACCATTTTCATTTTTATCGCCAGTTTGATTTACGCCAACACAAGGCGCCATTTGATTTGAGGTGATATCATCATTTGATTCCATATCTCTTTTAGCAAAAGGCATGCATTTGGCAATGTTTTCTGCTGCATAATCTAATGATAGTTCAGATTTTTCTGATTCTGAACTGTTGTCAACAACGCCATCATTATTCGATGAGCAATCAGAATCGTAGAAGTAGTCATTTCTAGCTGACTTTTTTTGTAAAGATTTGGTGTATGTTGTTTTGGATTCTCTGTTCAATTTATAGTTCCGATTACGATGCTTACTTTCATCGATTCCAGTTCTTTCTGATAACTTTTTAATCTGATTCACACGCATAAAAATACCATAGTTCTGAGCACACTTGAAATAGCGAACGCCTCCATAACTTCCATTGTTTCTTCCCTTCGGCTCGTCTAAGATAATGCCAAACCAGAGACCGTTTGAAAATTCTGTTTTACCTTTAAAAGCAATTGTGCCTGACACGTTTTTACCTATAACAATTACCCTGTCATTTACTTCTAAGTTTGACATTTGTAAATTTGAAGGAATCGCTCTAAAATTTTTAAACTTCTGCTATGTTTTGTATTAGTGACAATGAATGTGTACGAATTATGTTTTTATTTGCTGTCGTCTTTTGAAACAAACTATGCTTATGTTTTCCTTGGTATAGAATAATTTTAACTTGTTATCAGTTGTATTCTATTATATCTCTCTCACTAAAAAAATAAATAAAATAAATAAATAAATAAAAAATTATTGATTTAGGAAAGACGAGAAAAAAAATGAATTTTTTCATTTCTCTTTTTTTTTCTTCATTATACCAACCAGAGTCATATTATAGAAAATAAACTACTCCAGCCAAAATACCTAAACAGAAGCGATGCTTTGAAAGTGAAAAAAAAAGGAGGGATTGCCATAAAAAATTGCCAAGGTACCAGAGTCGGTATTTTCCAAAACTTTCAACTTTTAAAAAATAATGGGGATACAACTCTATTTTCGTAATGAAAAAATGATTCACCAGTACCAGGTTAAAAAAGTTAAGTATCAGGTTGAGTAAGTTAACTAGAAGTTTTAAGTACTATATTTGTGAGAATAGAAAGTAGTTGCATTCAAGAGTTCCTCTAAACTTTTTTTTTAATACAATAGACATTTGTGATACGATAAATGAAAACTTTTGTTGCATAAAACCACTCTATTGGCAAAAAATTTTCTCAATTGTAATTAAATAGAAAGCTAAAAGACTGATCGTTAGTGAAGGAGGGGGGAAAGTAAATTCTAATGGTTTCTACTTTTTTAATCTAATGGAGAGATTCTCTTTAACTTTTCAAATGTTGTCACGGAAGACAAGTTTGCTTTTATAATTGAATGCAAAGTTACAAAAAAATGAGACATTACATTAAAATTGGAATTAAAAGTATAAGATAAAAGGCTTTTTGTTTAAGAGTTATACTTAAGTATCAAAAATATCTTTGTTTTTTGTGAAAAATATCGACCTTTTTCGTGAAACAATGATGAATGCAAAGTAATCACTGGGTTGCTAAGAGAAGCGAACAAGGAGTAATGCCTTCTAGTATATCATAAAAGCGATTGAAATTTTGAAACTCAATATTACCTTAATTAAGTTCATAAATTTTTGTCTTTTTTATTTCTTGTAGTAAATCAAATAGTCTGTTAAAAATGAAACAATACAGGTTTTCTGTTTGCTGAAAAAATTATGTTTTTTCCCAATTGGTAATAGGAATACTTCAAGGAGGAGCTCTCTTATGCAGTTTTTATTGCCCAACTGAGATGAAATCTGTTCTAAACGTTTGATCCAAGATCCTTATTGAAATAATTAAAACATGCACATAATCACCAACAATGTTCTATCCCACTAGTGAGAAGAGTTCTTCCGTTTGGCAGAGAATAATTTCCGTAAATATACATAGTTTTGCTATAATCCAACATTAGAAAATCATTAGCTCGCTGAGCTTTTCTTTCAAAGCTCTGTCGTTATGTGAAATAGTGATTCATGGGAAATAATATGCTGTTTTTATAAGTATTGGGAGGAATCTAAATTTCGAAAAAGCACAGTGTGGCGTAGAGTTACTTAAATGGGGAAAAAAACGTTTTTTGTCTGCTATTCAATAATTGCAAAAATACACAAGCATTGCCTATTTAAGCTCATAAAAATAAGAAGAAAAAAATTTGAGAATCATTCACTTCTAATTTTCATTTTGAAAGAAATATTATACTTAATTATTGATTCATAAAATATATTTAAGCAATCAGTCCGTTTTGAAATATACATAATTTAATATGCGCAGCTTAAACGCAATAAGTATTTCGTATAGAGATGTCTAAGCTGATGTTATTTCACTTTCCTATCCACTGGAAATCCATCACGGATCAATCAGTTATAGATGCAACCAATAAGAATACTTTTCTTGAGGGATATGAATACGAATTCTTCAATAGGTATAGTGCAAACGGAAATTGATTGAATGATAGTGGAATGCTGATCTAGTTTAGCCACTGTTTTGAACATCTAAAAAGAGACTGCTTTTTGAAGGTTCTGTTATGAGAATTAACGCTTTTTTTGCTTATAATATATTTTCATAACTGTTGAGACTTTGCAAAAGGTATTCATGTTTGATAAGTCAAGTTTAACCAGCTTTAGTCATATATGTTAATTCTGAAAAGCCCTTTTCTTATAGGCCCCTATGGTAATTCTGAATAGGGCGCAAAACGTCAGTATGAAAAGAAGCCTGAATTTCGTCAAAACAAAAAGCGTTTGTAATTTAAAATTTTAATATTTTGGAAGTTAGTCCAACGCTGCACTATTTGGGCTTATAAAAATTTGCGAAAATGAGAATTATTCATTGGTTTTGTTGTTTTGAAAAAACAGGTGAAAAAACAAACTCACCAAATTGGGGATTTTTCAAAAATTTGGTTACTTATTAAATATTTAAGTTATTTGTCCATTCTAAATCTCAGATAATTCTTTACTCCAAGATGGTGTACATAATTTAAAATTATAATTTTACCTCAAGTGTAAAGCAACTAAACTGAGACTTTTTTACTTTCCTTAGCGAAGAAGCTTCGAGAAACGCTATTCAAACTGAGGGTTTTTAATTGTTCTTGGTGAAATAGATTCGAAAAATACTGTCAAGCAATTCAAATTATGGCTATTTTATTTCATTTATTTATCTTTCTGGGAGAAAGCCACAGAAAACACTTTTAAGTTACTCAAACTGTGGCTCTTTTATGATTTTTTGGGAAAGGGCTTCGAAAAACACTGTTAAGATACTCAAACTATGGCTCTTTTATTTTATTTACTTATTTATAGGCGAGAAAGCCATGAAAGAACACTGTTAAAGGACTCAAACTGTGGCTTTTTTATTACTGTTGTTAAAAGAACTTCGAAAAATACTGTTAAGGTACACAAACTGTGACTTTTTCTTTTTCTTTACAGAAGAGCTCAGAAAGTATTTTTAAGGTACTGCTGATTAAACTGATGATTTTTTTAAAAAATTTTTCTTGACCAAAATATTTTGAGAGACATTGTTAAGGTACTCCAACAATGGCTCTTTTATTTTAATTTTATTTTATTTATTTATCTATTTCTTTCTTTACAGGAAAGTCAGAATAAACACTGTTAAGGTACTTAAACTGAGGCTTTTTTTTTTTTAATTTTTCTTTACGGAAAAGCTTAAAAATATTTTAAAGTACTCAAACTTCTGCCATTTTTTTTTCTTTTTTTTTTTTGGTGAAAGAGCTTCAAAAAAAAAACCTACCAAGGTACTCAAATTAGGGCAGTTCTTTTTCTTGAAGAAAGACCTCTAAAGATAAATTTCATATCATGAACAAAATGGTGAAAATAATTTCCCTCGATAATCAAATATCTATAGTGATTTTCGATAAGGTGCGTCATATCCTCTTACAATAAGTTTTCTTCCGGTTGCGGTGTATAAGCTGAAAGTGATGTCAGAATGGTGGAATTTAATCTATTGTGAAATTTGTGCTTATTTTACACACTTTGACTCATTCTAAAATTTCTTTTATAAAGTTTACTTTTGGTAGTCGCAATTGCTTCTCCAATAAAAGTTACCGCTGTTTTATAGCTTTTAATGTTTATCGAAAAACAACACACTCCGAAGAAGGAATTAAGATTTAAATATTAATTAGATTAAATCTTAAATACTGTTAAAAAGTAGATAAAAATTATTTTTTTTCCCGATTACTTTCTTATTTATTGTAATGCTGTATGCCTATTTAAATCGAGTAAAAGGGATATTTAAAAAAAATAATGCGATAAATCCTCTGAGAAAAAATGGTATATTTTATGCAAAGACGTACACAAAAAAGGAAAAGCTCGAATCATCCTTATTACGCTTTTCAACGTGAGATAAATGTATTTAAAGCATTTAAACCATGTTTAGTGTTTTTTTACTAACTGAGTATTTAAATTTCAAAAAGCCTTACGATATTTACATTTTCTAATAGAACATTTTTCAACGTTAATCATAAACTATAAGTGTCTGCAACAGTTTTACTTCAAAAGTACTTTTTCAAAATACATCTGAATTGTTTTCTTGAACCATTAAAGTGTTTCAAGTCACAAAAGTGGTTTATGTATGAAAATCACCTATATGAAAAAACATGGTTGACTGAGAAAAAAAATGGTCAAAACTGCCAGAACATGTATAATTTTCCTTTTTTTCAGACTCTATACGAACACCAAAAATCTCGGCAATTTTTACCAAAGTGCTTTAGTAATGATTTGATAAAATTAACAATAAAATGGGATTTTATAGTATCTGATATAATTTGCTAAATGTGCTAAAATTTGGTAACTTTATCATGATACCTTAGAGAATGTCATAATAACCATTTATTCGGCTAAATTTACTTTTTCATAGTTTTTACTAAACGTATGGTAATAAAAACTATAATTTTGAAAACCAGAATTTCTGGTAAAACGTTACTATATGAATTGAAAAAACTATTTAATGAATGCAAACTAAAGTAAACAACGTTAAAGAGCACAAAAAATATACGTCACGTAACAAAACGTAACGTAAACAAAAAACAACGTTAAAGAATACAATAAAATTTTTAGAACAAAGGTCGCCCACTTGTGTATTTAATGAATGGTTTAAATACCGTAAATTTTAGTTGTTATTACAAAAAATATTTCTTTTTCCTTTTCCTTAACCAGAAATATTATTACATAAATTTTTATCAGAATTTGTTTCTCCTTGTAAAACTAAGTAGTGAATTTTAAAAATATTGTTTGGTTGTAACACTAATAGTTATAATTAATATTTTTAATACTTTTTTCGTAGAATGAAACTCTTATAATAAAATCCCAGAGCCTTGCCGACGTACTTTTCTCAATGACCAACGGCAGTTTTTGAAAAACTATTATTATTTAATTTATAAGTAAAATTTAACAAAGAATGATATCATATTTTATACCGAAATTTATAAAATGCTAAATGAAAAAATTCAAGAATGTGAAAATTTATTTACTAGTTATAAAAAAATAGAAAATTATTGATTAATTAACAAATTAGAAAACAATTAATTAGAAAATTATTATAGCGTATGACAATTAACTCATAATTTTCATACACTGCACCTTAGAAAATTCATCGCATACATTATATCTTTTCGTGAACGAAACCAATTGCG